AAATGGGTATAACATAGTGTCACATAAATGTAAGTATCCTTCTTAAAATTATATATTATAATTAATTAAATTAAAGAAGGAAATGGAATTGCTCTCAATGGTCTTGCTTCAAATGCTCCAAAAAGTGATTAAAAGCTCCCAAGTAACGCGTTGTTTAAGCCGGCCGTGGTGCCTGCATGCTCGAAATAAGTAACGACTCGGGAAAAGGGAACGCCGCGGACAAAGCGTATAACCCCGATTACATACAAACCATGAGTGGTCATCGTTACAAAATTTGGCTACCACACAATAAGTTTTCTAAGAAAAAGATTGATATTGCAAAATAAATGTTGTGCTTTTAATTGCAGTTTTATACCATTTGAATGATCGCCTGTTTGAGATACCGAAGTTATGTTAAGCTAATTGCCCTGGTCATACAAACCAGAATTATTCAATAGACAGTTTTGAAAGAATAGGTCTGTAAATTGAGTGATGAGACTTAGCGTTTGATAGGGTAACACTGGAGGCGCTGGGCTTGGAGGGGAGATAGGGGAGCATATTATCCATCATCAATACAAGTTTGAACTTGCTCGAGCCATTCGGTTGTCCGAAGCTATTTTTTTGTGAAACAGTTTTTTTCTATTATGTTCTAAAAGTGAGTGATCAACTTCAAGCAAAAACGTGCTATGAGGTTTTGCTTCAGATTTGCGCCCAGTGCAACTGAAACTACTAAACAGCCCTACGGATGTAGTGTAATATTAAGAGCACAGGTTTTCGGTGGTTTAAGGCAGTTTCAGAAGAGAGGGGGTCGATTGAAGATACACCACGAAGCAGAAGGCATTCAATATAGACAGAATCCGGGGTCTTGTGGGTCCAGATCGTCGGATGACAGTCAGGGAAAGAGTTAAATTTGATTAACATAACCGTTCATCAGATCAATAAAATTTGGGTATTGTATCACGATAATGCTCCTTATCACACAGCAATGTCAATAAACGAGTTTTTGGCCAATAAACACATTCCTGTGGCTCCTCAGCCTCCTTATTCGCCTGACTTGAGTCCTTGTGACTTTTTTCTCTTCCCGAAGTTGAAAAATCGCCTCAAGGAACCTATTTTGGGATATTCCACAATATTTCAACGGCTGTTGCCGACCAGCTGAAGTCTATTCCAGTATCAGAGTTCCAGCACTGCTATGAGGAGTGGAAGAACCATCTTTAGCGCTGTGTGGCTTCAGAAGGAAGTTATTTTGAGGGTGCCAATATAAAATTCTAATTATATTGCAATAAAAATTACAAATTAATCTGTCTCATCACTTAATTTACAGGCTTCGTACAAGTTTTCTGAAGTAAGGCTTCAGGCAAAGCGGATAAGGGCAAGTGGATACAATACAAGGGCGTATTTAGAGGAGGCATGCACTCCTAGACGTCTAGGTTTGTAATTTTTTTAGCGAAATGGTATATACCTATATTGTTATATCTGGGTGTGAAAATTACCCTGACAGACCTGAATCGACCCCTCTAGACGTATTCTACCCGCTCTTCAATTGACACAAGGCCATTTGCTCTCAGAAGCGCCGCTCAAATGCCTAAGCATGCAGCTGCCACCCCTCCCCAGTTATACTTCCTATGCAACTGTCATACATTTATCCTTTATCGAAATTTGAATGGTGAATACGCTAACAGTCGGCCTCAACTGCCTCCAAAACTTAACGGAGGGCGAGGGGGAGCATATTTTCACAGGAAGCTACATACCAAAGAGCTAAAAAATTATACAAAAAACATAGTGAATATGCGAATTTTTATTGTATGAGTCTGTTTGACTAGCTTGATCCGTTTATTTTTTTGTTATACACGTTCGTAGCTAACTTTTTGTACTCAAAGGGGCGAACGTGGGCCGAACATAATCTTTTACGAACTTATGTCAGCGTTTCTTAGAATAACAAAAACGTTAAGTATAGGTCCCAAAATCGCATTTCCAAGATGTGTTCCAAATTTATATGTCGCTGAAGAAGTTAAACAAGGACAAAAACATGAACATTTTTCACGCTATGGTGAGTTAGAATTACTCTCTTAAATACTATATACAACTTTGAATGCCAAGCTTCATCAACATCGGAGTTCTTTTGAAGTTAAAGGAGTTGAAGTTTTTCGTACAGGCCTTACCTCAAATCATTCAAACCGACTTTTCTTAAAAAACAAAAAATCTCAAGAAGGGCGATTCATGTAAAATTTAATACCTTATTCAAAATGCAATACATGCTTAGTGGCGTAGAAGACAATTTTCTTTTCCTCTGTAAGGGTCAATATTCCTCAATTTCTACATCACCGGTGTAGTCCCAAGCACGAACTATATTGTTTTCGATTTGAAAGTTATAAATCCAACACACTGTGTCTCGGTAAGGCGGCATTTCAAGACCCATATTTATATGCCCTATAATATTTGGTACGTGTCTCCGGAACCCCTTGTATGAAGCATCTTTGCGGTTTTATTTCAAAGATTTTTCGCACCAACGTAACAATATCAGTGGTTTTAACCTCTGTTCACTATACAGGGTTATCCAAATTAAGTGTCCACCATTAGTAACTTTGTTATTAGTGAAAATACAAAGTTGTTTGAATTAGCAAACTAGTAGCATTTTTAACGCAGGTAAAAATGAGAAATAAAAAAAAACAATTGAGAGTCGTTATTTTGATTTTTTTCAGTAAAATAACATTTTTTTAAATGGAAACCCCTGTATATTATATTTTTTTCTGTTAAAGCATCAAATTTTAAACAAAAAAGCTTACAATAACTTTTCTCCTAGGTTACAAATTGTTGAAGTTATGGCCTCCAATCTGAAACAATTAAATTGTATCGACAAACTTTATTTTCAACATCAACTTATAATCTTACAAAATACAATAACAATTTTTTTTAAAGAAGATGCTCGAAAACACCACCTTGTTCTTCAATACATTTTTGGGCACGTTTTTCAACTGCTCGAACTGTCTTAAGTATGGTCCTACCATCTATCTGGGTTATCTTTTCCCTAACTGCAGTCTTTAACGCGTCAAGGTTATCGTACCTTCGCTTGTAAATTTGGTTCTTTAAGTAACCCCACAAGAAGTAATCAAGTGGGTTTAGATCTGGTGATCTGGGAGGCCACTGTATTGGGCCATTTGTTCCTATCCACTGATCATTAAAAGTAGTACTTAGAAAATGATAAGTACCTCTGGAGTTGTGGGCAGGTGCGCCATCTTGCTGAAAATGCAGATGATGTCTACTTATTAGATCCAATTCGTCTAAGAAATTAGTCAGAATTTCTGACATAAATTCCACATATCTTTCACCAGTTAGGGTTCCCTCATAAAAGAACGGGCCAACAATTTTTGAACCAATTATACCGCACCAAACGTTGAAACTGAAACGGACTTGTGGGCCTCTTGGATGTACTAACAAAAGATTTTCTATTGACCAATAATGGTGGTTTTTTCTATTAAACATTCCAGAATTTGAAAAATTTGATTCATCTGTCCATAAAAGGTAACGAAAGTTATTTACATTTTGGCGACAGAAGCTAAGATACCAATGGCAAAAAACAAGTCTTCTCTCTGGATCCGCTGCCAAAAGCGTTTGAACTGGTCGGTACTTATACGGAATAAATTTGTATTTTTTTAAAATCCTTTGAACAGTACCATAACTGAAATTAGAGTCCTTGAGAATATCTGCTATTGAATTCTCACGATAAGCTTCAAAATATCCAATAACTGCAATTTCCGTGGCTTCGCTTATTATGAATTCTTTTTTTGCCCTTGTTTTAGCAAAAACATTTTCGTTGCCCCTAAATTTTCGATAAAGTCTCAGAAAATATCGTTCATACGGTTGAATGCGAGCGGGATATAATTCACTGTAGTATTCTCTTGCTCTCAAGGAGGATTTTCTGCACACTAAATAGCATTCTAACATATCACACTTTTCTTCATGGGAGAACATTTTTCTTTAAATTAATGACACAATAAAGCTTATAAACAAGTATTTACACTAATGTTTGACATTATTTGATTTTATCATTGTTTTCCAAAGCCTTCTAGTTGCGAGTATGTCCAGTTTAACAATTTGTCGCTTATCTTAATGCTGTCAAATCGCGAACGCCATGTTGTTTTCATAGCCGTCTTAATATTATAATACTGCAAATAATTAAAAATATTTATCGTTATTTTGACTTTATTTTTGACTTTAGCGGAAAAGTCATTATGAACTTTTTTGTTTAAAATTTGATGCTTTAACAGAAAAAAATATAATATACAGGGGTTTCCATTTAAAAAATTGTTATTTTACTGAAAAAAATCAAAATAACGACTCTCAATTGTTTTTTTTTATTTCTCATTTTTACCAGCGTTAAAAATGCTACTAGTTTGCTAATTCAAACAACTTTGTATTTTCACTAATAACAAAGTTACTAATGGTGGACACTTAATTTGGATAACCCTGTAGATGCGCAGCGATTATTTCATAACACAAATCATTGCTGTATACAAGAGGATTAAGCAATTACAGCTTTTGGAACTAATGGACTTTCTGCTCTGTGAATAAAGTTATAAATCAAATTTCTATACTGCATTGAACAGCTGTGAATGTTAAAGGTGCCGTTTTTGTGCCAGATAAATTTTCGTTCTCTGTTTATTCGAAAGCAATCTGGAAACGCAATATATGAAAAATCATGAAAAATTGTATCACCTACTTAGGTTTTGGTGAGCGTTATGTGTTATGATCACTTGAAATTTCATCTCCAACAGTCGTTGCTGGTCGAACCTTAAGCTCAAAGTACATGCTGAGCCTAAATGATGTCGTAATATCTTATGGTGCTTGAGTTACTATTATAAGTCACTTCAGGAACAAACGCTCATATCAACATGTGTCTGCAACATTTTACAAAACCCTCCATGAGAATTAGATTTGTTTCTTCAAAAGTAGCAGGCATATTGCTAAATCAATATTATGTATCTTCTTACTTCAAACAACAAAAAGGATAGAAGACTTACCGTCCATCCTCCATCTGCAATTTCTTGCTCACAGAAGACCTTCAAGAACCAGTAGGTAGTACCTCTGATCTGAAGATAGTAGATTCCGGAATTCCTCATTCCTGCATTGAGGAAATCCACACAGGAATAGCCCTGAAATAATGAAAGTCAATAAGAGGAGATCAAAGGTGAATAGTAAATAAACATCGAGTAGCCGTTATCACACTAGCGTTACTCAAAAAGCGAATAATCATAGAGATTCTGTTGAGGGACCTTATAGACTGTCAATTCAGTAGCACTTACAAAAAATAATATTCTTTTAGGTACACAAAATTAAATTCATTTAATTGTATAGACTATCAATGTTGAGAACATTGTAATTAACAACAATTTTATTGAGAAAACACTTGGCCTTAAGCAACACATTGCTAGCCCTCAAAAATCTTCCTCATTCGGGCAATTATGTCATTTAGTCATTGCTAAACAATAAAATAGCCAAATAATTAAATATGTGAATAACTTAATTGATATAACAAAAACATCACCAGTGCAGGTCAATAAAAAATACGTACAGGTATTTTCCAGCGCGGAAATTGATCAAGTGATTGAAGGATAATGCGAAACGAGTATGCCCGATCATCGTTGTAAAATTAATAATTGAGCCTGTAATTATAATATATTATCGATGAAAACCTACCAGTCAAAAAACCTAATAATAAAATAATTGCTTTTATAACATCACTGATTAGTGAAACTCAAATTATTTTTTGGTATTGTTATATGGTATGCGTACGTGCATAGACGTCTGTATAGATTTGTCTACCCATCAAAATAATATCTTGAAGACAGAAATAGGTAATCATGAAGCATGTGATTAAGGCAATGCTTTTGAAAATAATATGTTGTAAGCGATTTAACTGTTTAAATCTCATGCATTTTTCTGTAGCGTATTATTTCAGAACTACCTTTTATCCTCACTATCGAATGTATATATTTTATGCTTATATCTGCTAGCACGCAGATGTGACATTTTGTTGGACGATGACAAGTCTTATATCATGTCAAAAGATCAACAAGACAGTAAAGTATCAGGTACTCGTATCAGGTGTCAAGGTGAAGGGACAGATGCTTACATATCTCCTTATCAGTTCTTGAATAGAAAAAATAAACATGTAAATTTTCACAAAAAAAAAGAATTGTGCATTGATGTGTTGCCGACTTCACCCTACTGACATAACTCTTCTTTCAGCACAGTGTCTTAGAAAACCTAGATAATGAACCATCAGCTTGCAGGGGGGGGGGGACATTTTGAACTGGTTTGACGATTTCTCTACGGAATTTTGACGCGAATGATAACAATGCAGGAACAGTAAAGTTTCTCGGAGTGTACATTGACTATTAAAAGAGCGGGACTGATCATGTAAACTATGTGACCAAATCTTTGACAAATGCTATTTGTCTGATACGTAATCGGAAAAATCTCAGACTTATCGGCTAACCAGTTACCGTACTTCCAGCATCAAAATAAATAAAATAAAATAAATATGTTTATTGCCATTTGACTTGAAAAGTATCAGCAAATTGTCAATAATGAATGAGAAAAAAAATATCTAAAAAGTTGTGATCGAGTTAACAATAAGTAAATTAAATAATACATACATAATGTACTCAAAATAACAACATAAACAAACAAATTAAAAAGATGTGAATAAATAACAAATAAAACAAAAATAGTAGGACGAGCAGATTGAAAACATTAAAAATTAATTGTTAGCAATAATACAATTCACAAGTCTGATGTTAAGTATTCTTCAATGCTGTATAAAGGGTTTTCCATAAATAGACTTTTAACTCGGCGTTGGAAACCATTGAAATTGGTGACAGCTTTGATAACAATTGGCAACCTGTTGAACAATCTGATAGGAATTATGTGGAGACCATTTGCTGATAAAGCAAGGCTATGTTGAGTGTACGCAGACAGTATGTATTCCCACGATTATAACCACTCTCCACATTCCTTCGCGACTCATATTTTCCAAAGTTCTTTCGAACATGACAAACACAGTTGAGAATATAAAGTGAGTATATCGTCATGATGTAGAGAGTTTTGAATAGTTCTCGACAAGAAGTGAGCTTGTTACTAAATGTTATTGTCGAATCACTCTCTTCTGCACAAGTATCAAATCTGATGTATGAGAGCTGCTAGCTCAGCAAACGATACAGTAATTCATCGCTGACTGTACGTGAGCAAAATAGTACATCCTAAGCACTGCAGTACTTGCAAACTGCCTTAGTCTCCATAACACAAAGCAATGCTTTGAAATTTTTTGTTGACTAAACAGTCAATATGATCCCTCCAAGTAAGCCTTGAATCGATCATAACACCAAGGAATTTAATGACCTGGACCTCGTTCGCTCTGGTTCCGTTAATATCACAATCTGTATCTCCCAAGCAAAACTGCATCAGTTGCGTCTTCTGTTCATTAAGTCCAATTACTTACACAGTACCTCTCCATGTGATGCAACTGACAACTCAGTAACGAGCTGAGTTGGATCTTTAGTTTTAACCCCCACCGTGGTATCGACAGCAGATAATGTAACAAAATGCTGTTTCATGAAAATAGGCGCATCGTTGATGAACAACAAGAACAATAGAGGCCCTAGTATGCTTCCTTGCGGAACACCAGTTAAAACAACCTTGATGCTAGAAGATAATTTACATCTACTATTATTAATGACAACTCGTTGTTCCCTATCGGATAGATAACTTTCTATCCAATTTAAAGCGGTTCCTCTGACTCCGTAGTTATATTAAGCTTTTCGAGTAAAAAAGCATAGTTGACAGTATCGAAAGCGCGGCTTAAATCTATAAAGAGACACCACGTTTTATCTTGCTTTTCAAGGCATGTTAAGACAAAGTCACACATAGACAATACTGTATCTTTTGTAGATAGGTTTTTCTGAGATCCAAATTGGTACCTGTTGATGATATTGAATTTGTCAGCAAATTTTATCAGTTTATTATAATAAGCCTTTTCGAAGAATTTTACGAATATGGATAACAAATAAATGCCCTTATAATTAGCTATGTTAGTAATATCATCAAATATCTAGGATTATAGATGAGAATTTTAATTAGTCTAGTCAAACTATTTTTTTCATAAAACATCGTCGATCATAGCTGCTTTGTACCGAATCAGAGACTACTTAACTACAAAAAGTAAGATGATCATTTATAATGCATTTTTCTTGGTACACTTTAGAAATATGGTACCTAATTGGGGAATGTGTTATGGATTTCATAAAGCACAAGCTTCGCCAAATAGAATCTCAAGAATTTTGTTCAACTATGATCGAGTTGCCAACACGGATAATATATATACAAAAATGGATGTTATTTAACTAGATAACAATGCAAAATGATTTTCAAAATTTATAATAGATAACCAATAAAAGTGTAATATAAAAATTCTGATCACACATGATTCATAACAGATTTCTACTAGAACTAATGTAAGATTAAATATAATGCCACTGATGCAGTAAAAACATATAATAATCTCCCACAAAGTGTAAAAAATGAACATATGTTCAGAAATTTTGCCAAAATACTCAAAAGACATTTGAACTGTTGAATTTATTGTTGTTAAAAATCGCACATTAAATATTATGTTGTTCTCGCGGCCAGTGTTCTAAACACAGATTAAAGATCTTTGCTTACTATGGAATTTGTAAAAATTGACCGTTGAATAAAGATTTGTTATAAAAAAACTTTCATAGTGGAATGACGAACGCCATTTTGGCATAGGATAATTCTCCACACTTGTCTAGAGTTTTTTAATTCACAGAGATGTGTTACAAACATATCAAATTTGATGTACCGAGATCCTTGCTAGAATGGGTTCATTGAACTGAATATTTGTATAGTGACATTTTCTTGCGTGCTTACCTCATGATTGTTAAAACTGACTCTCTTAATTATACAATTCATCAAGCTGCTCATAATTATAATACCAGAAGCAAAGATCATTTGTATCCAAATCGTCATCGCGTCTCCAAAACTAGAAACGGATTAAAATTCTACAACCTATTACCAAATAAAATATCGATGTTGAACAACTTGTCACAACTCTGAAACACTTCCTAGTGAAGATTTTTTTGAAATCAAAAACTTCCGTAACTTCATTTTTTGTATGGTAGTACAATTTTAACTTTAGGTAGTCTCTTTTATAATTATTATTAATCATCTCTATTTATTCTCCATTTATGTGGGCATTAACTATTATTGACTTTTTACCTTGTTTTGTCCCTTTGTGTTTTATGTTTGTCCTATTTTGTGTTCTACTTCGACTAACGCGTGCAAACATATTTGATCTGCTTTTAAATAGTTTATTTTTAGTAAAACAATACTTAACCACAGTCTATTTTCAAACATTTTGCAGAAGACTGGATTTTGCGGGATTATATCCTCATTATTGGAATGTAGACCACAGTTAGCCAAGATATCGAAACAATTTCATGAAATAATGTTTGTTAAACGTGGTGCACCACAAAAAAAATACAGTTTTGAATCCGATTTTTCACAACATAGACAAGATTGATGTATTCTAAAGTTTACGAAAATGAAGATATTGAATGCGATATTGAATACATACGTATATCTCATACGGTATATAAATCTATTAAACATTTTAGGCACGTTGATATTCTGAACGTCATTAGTAATAAGTGAAATATGAGAAATACCTTATTTCAACATACCTAACAAGAAAGGTAAAAGAATGATCAAAACTCGTACAGTATCGGTTGCAGCTCCACTGTCAATGAGAACCAAAGCTTTTTCGTTTATGGCATGACAAAAAATGGAAAACATTTCTTCAAAGCCTGAGCTGCCCAAATTATAGCGCGATCTAGAATTATCGGACAGACAGGGTCGTTAAATATAATAGTCTGATTGCCTAGTAAAATGATTGTTATAGTCAATTTAATTGTTTGGGAAACTATAACCTAAATTAGATAAAAAAAACAACAACATCAACAATTTCTTGGAATCGGTGTGTTTCAATTGCAATTGATATTGAAAGACTCATATGAAGAGTCTATTTACTTAAAAGGTTCCCAGGCTTTCCGTTTCTCAATTTAACCCTGACGTG